GTATGTATCAGAGATAGGGCCACAGAGCTACGTGGAAATTGCGAAACTAGTTCCAGATGTCCAGAGAGACTTATTTTTCCCAAATAGCAACCATTCCCACCCTATGCCTTGTAACAAGCTTCTTTTGAAACTAAAAAAAAACCCCACAACTGTTGAAAGCATTTCTTGATATTGAAGCGGGTGTATGGTGGAACAGGCCTGCTCTGGCCTGCAGGCCCTGTTCCACCCTTCCCTCCAAGGTTTTCGCAACACCTGGAGAGGCTTATCTCTCTCTTTCCGGTAACTCGCCACCACCACTTGACCTTTGTAAGGAGTTGCCCACTGGGAGAGTCAGGACTCCCAGCTTCCCTTCCAAGTTCTGAGGGTTTGCCTCTGTGTCTCCTGCTGCCCAGTGCCTGGTCACTATTTACTGCCCTGTGCAGCCCTGGAGGACTGACTGGAGAACTGACTGCCTTCCCCCAGTGCTCCTTTTGACATACCATGTCCAAGACGGTGTAGGTCTATGTGGTACAGAGAACCACTACCAGTATCAAAAGTTATAAAGTATTTATTAAAAAGAAAATGTTTCACAAGCATACTTTTTAGCACAGCACCAGATTCAGCCAGGGACTCCAAAAGAAATTAGTCAAACACAACTCCTTTGCCCCTCTCTCAGACTCCTTAGTTTAGGAAGTTACAGATCTCTACAGAGTGTCCATTACCTTGGAGCTACCTTCAGCTGTTCAGGCTAACACAAAGCTAACAGCCACCTCCTGAAGACCTCAGTTAAGAGTTTTGTCTGCTCTGATGGACTCAGTGCAAAAAAGAGCTTCCTCCTTGCTCCCCTGAGTTTTATTACCTCCTTTTCCCCCATCCACTAACCAGGTCAGGCCAGGTCAGAGAGACTTTTCTGGAAGTCTCCATAATTTTCCTTCCTGAAGTCTCCCTAGTATTTAACACCTCCAAATCTCTGTTCCCTGCTTGAAGGGGGGGGGGGCTTGACCATCCCATTGTCTAGACCTATTAGCATTTGTATGAAGGTCGGCTGAGGTAAGTCTGGAAAGCAACTAAACTGACTTCCCCCCTTCCAGCCTGTTCTCTGCCCAGAGAAAGAAAGAGAAAAAACTTTTAAAACTCAGAGTGAAGGTTTTGCTAACTTCAAACCTCCAAGGAAAAAATGCATTTCTTCACAGGGGGCACAATTAAAGAAGTGTAGGTTTTCAGACCTCGCTTTTCTCTACCCTAAAGAGTCTCAAAGCAGCTTACAATTGCCCTTCCTTCCTTCCTCTCCCCACAACAGGCACCTTGTGAGGTAGGTGCGGCTGAGAGAGTTCTGAGAGAACTGTGACTAGTTCCATCAAGATCACCCAGCAGGCTTCACGTGGAGGTGGAGTGGGGAATCAAACCTAGTTCTCCAGATTAGAGGCTGCAGCTCTTAACCACGTCACCACGCTGAAACCTCCCCTTTCTTCTGTGCTATTACTGCAAGGTCCTTGGCGTCAGTCTAAATGGCAGCTTGATCCCCAGCCTTGTACTACTTAAAGGAAGCTTAACAAACTTATCAGAACAAAACCCAGAATGTCCTGATGAATGAAAACATGAACCCGGTGGGGGTGAGGAATCATAAATCATGAAAACCAAGCTGGTGGTTTAGGATGAACTGCAGAAATCCACCTCCCCCCCCCCAATGGCACTGAAGAAGTCACTTTCAGATGCAAACCAGACATCATGGTTACGTGTTGACCATAGTTCCTTCATGGTGGAGGACCTGTTGTTTCAGAGAATCCTCTTTGCTGAGCGTAATGGAGAATGCCTTCTTGTTCCCAAGGCAGGATGGGTAGGTGTGTGTGTGTGTCTTCATTAGCATACCACTGCAAGCAGCACACTGGCCTAGCTGCTTCCAAATGCAAGCAGGCTCAAAGCAAGCAAACCACACAGCATTTCCCAAACCCATACACAAATGCAAATACATTCCATATACATAAGCATCAGCACAATACAGATAAAACGCAATTTTAAGCACCTTTGACAACACTCTCCAGTATTCTCCAAGCCCTCAAGGGCTGAAGTAGGCCGGTTCCAGCGCCCTCTTTTTCCTTTCAACTGACCCTCAGCTGTTTTCAACACTCCATTCCTTCTGTCACGTGTCAGACCTCATCTGCCCAGTTTGGGAGGCTATTTTCCACTCTGGCTGATTTACAGCGTCATACTTTTTTGTGTGTACCTGCAGAGCACACCCACCCCACCCACCCACCCCCGCCAATGCGGCCTCTAAGCTGTGGAGTCTTGTGAGCAAAAATTCTACTTTGGGAGCTTCTGGCATTAAAGTTGTGAGCGAGCGATTGGGCTGCTGCGTAAATTATTTTGCTCCGGAGCCATCCTTCCTGCACTAAGACGAAAATGTGTGAGTCGGAGGCTAAAAAACTGTGAGCTAGCTGACACTAACTCAGTTTAGAGGGAACACTGCCCCCAGCATATAGTTCTGCTGTGTTCATCACTGCACAGGGTTAGCCAGTAGTGATGAGAACTGTCACAGGTTCTGTGAATTTAGGCAGATCATGAGAGGGAACACAGGAAGGGTTGCATCAGTGGCTTAGTTCTTGCGGCCCTTTCTTAAATGGCCCAGGGAAATGCTGATCACAATTTTGGGGTCAGGAAGCAAATTTTCTCCAGGCTAGTTTGGCCAGGGATCCTGGAGGTTTGTTTTTTGTTTTGTCATCTTTCTCGGCATGGAGGTCACTGGGGGTGTGTATTTGTGAATGTCCTGCATTGTACAGGGGGTGGACTAGGTGACCCTGGAGGTCCCTTCCAACTCCATGATTCTAGGTTAGAGAGACCACGGGGGCCAATCTATATGGCACAGCTGCCACAGGAAGCAGAATTTGTAGCACAGAACTTTTTTTTTAATTTACTTCATTTATACCCTACTTTCTTCCCCAGTGGGGACCAAAAGCAGGTCACTTAATTCTCCCCTCCTCCATCTTGTCTTCACAACAGCCCTCTGAGGTAGGTTAGGCTGAGAGTGTGTGACTGGCCCACGGTCACTCAGCATGTTTCCATGGCAGAGTGGGGGATTAAAATCTGGGTCTTCCAACCCACTAGCCACTACGGCACATCACCCAACCTCCAGACTTAGCCATGGCACCGAGTCAGGCTTGTCCTCCAGAACTGGACTGACCTGGAGAGCCCAGGACAGCCCAATCCCAACAGATCTCAGAAGCTAAGCAGGGTCGGCCTTGGGTACTATTTGGAAGGGCGACCTCCAAGGAATGCCAGGGTTGTGACGCAGAGGCCGGCAATGGCAAACCACCTCTGAAACATCTCTTTCCTTAAAAACAAGTCTAGCTCGCCACCTAGTGGTGCATAAGGCTAGAAGAGGTAGAACTTCTAGCTGCCAGCCAATCTTAGGATCTCTTGGCTATTCTACACACACTGCCATAATAATAATAATGATTATTATTCCAGGCTCTGGGAGCAGAAGCACCCAAAAGGCCCGGGGCAGCCTGCAGCTGCTGCAGCATACACGCCAACAGCACTGTCCCATACCTGGACTGTGCTCCACACCCTTGCCAAGAGCCAGCATGGTGTAGTGGTCAAAGTCACAGACTAGGATCTGGGAAATCCAGGTTCGAGTCCCCACTCTAGCCATGGAAGCTGGCTGGGTGACCTTGAACCAGTCACACACTCTCAGTTTAACCTACCTTGCAGGGTCGTTGTGAGGATAAAAGGGAGGAGAGAATGATGTAAGCCGCTTTGGGTCCCCACTGGGGCGGAAGGGGAGATATAAATTTTAAAAAATAAAGCAAATAAAAGTACCACTGTACCACACGAAAATGTCGAAATACCAAGACTCCACAGCTACTGCTCAAGATATTCTGCAGATGAGGAGAGGAGGGGAAAGAAAACTCCATTCTTATGTCAGATCCAAAGAGGTCACCAGCAGCTCACTGCATAGAAACTTTAAACATGCGAGGAGGGCACACTTCCTTTAGCAACGTGGCACCTCTGATTCATCCACTGATGTCCCCATTCACAGGCTGCAGGCGCTCGGCCCCTCCACCTGAGGCTGAGATAAACGGCGCTCTCGACGCGATTACGAACCGGAAATTAACACCGGCAGCCTATCTGCACTTCAAAGGGACGTCAGCTGCCCAGCCTACAGCCCGCGCGGCGGCAGCCAAAGAGAAGGGAAATGTGGGCGCCGCAGCCGACTTCAGGCGCACCCCAACCTTAAAAACTCCAGAAGAAAGACGGGGAGGGCGTAGTCGAGAGCAAGAAAAAGTGATGTGCAACCGAAGGAAACCGATGCGAGTCTACGCAGGACTCAAAAGAGTTCCTTCCCAAGCAAACGCGGCCAGGGCTCGCCGAACAGCGCAGCCCGATCCTGAGCCGCTTGAGTCACTAGCTCCCTCCTCCTGAAACGGGGGCTCGCCTCCCAAAAAAAACGTGCACAGGATCGCAGCCTTCCGTCCGCAAAGTTGGACTCGTTCCTCGCCAAGTCGGATTCCTTTTTTCGCTCCTTGCCGAGGGTCACAGCGGCGCGGCCATCGGGGACAAGCACCCCCCACCAGTGTTCCCTCTAAGCTGAGCTAGCGTGAGCTAGGTCACAGTTTTTTAGCCTCCGGCTCACACATATTTGTCTTGGCTCAGGAAGGAGGGCTCCAGGGCAAACTAATTTACGCAGTAGCCAAATCGCTCGCTCACAACCTTTATGCCAATAGCTCACAAAGTAGAATTTTTGCTCGCAAGACTCCACAGCTTAGAGGGAACATTGCCCCCACCCACCCACC